CAAAGTGCTGGGATTACAAGCTGAGCCACCGAGCCCGGCCATGCTAACAAAAATTAGTAAACTGGGCCCAGTGGTTTGTGCCTGTAATCTCATCACTTTGGAAGGCTGATTTGGGAGAATCATTTGAGGCCAGGAATTTGAGACCAGTCTAGGCAACATAGTAAGACTTTGTCTCCAAATAATTAAAAATTTTAAAAATCAGTGAGTAATATAAGCAGAATAGACTACTGGCTTCAACTGCAGTGGGTAAACCACAGGAGCCAGTACCATCAACATCCCCAGGGAGGGCCTGTTTTTAGCATATAAGAGGAGCTCTGGTGAATGAACTCTGATCTCTGATTTCTTTTTTATTTTAATCCAGAGAGGGAAACCTTTAAATTTAAAATACAGGAAAGGATCTGTGCTTATGAACAGAATATATCAGTTGAATGTTTTCACAAAATACCTGAGTGGAAAACAGTAAAATCCAGGGAGCAGGTAGAGCTACATTTTTGCCAAAGTGAGATCCCAGATACAGGTTTTGAGAAACTGATGAGATGTTATGTAAATTTGTCGTAGAGTATTAGGATTCCCAATTTTGTTAATTACTACCTGGGAAATTTTCAAACAAGGTGAGTGCCTTAAGAATACCTCCCAGTGAACACAAGAATTCTGACTGAGCCGTCTCCAGGCATTCAGTGAAGCAGCGTGGAATCATAACTGCCAAGCCAAGCAGAAACTCACCTGCAGTGGAGTCCAGGATTTTGTGTGGCAATAGCATTTTTGGTTAAACATTTCCCAGTTCCTAAATATGGAGCTAGGTTTGTAAACGTGTGGCAGACTGAGCTAGCACATCCAAATGGCTGTGGGGTTGTATGGGGAAATGTGGCTTTTAAAAAACTGGATGGTTAAGATGAGAAAATCCAGCTGTGTTTTACCTCAAATTGCACTAATCAGAATTCTTTTACTCTGTTTTTTCCTTCATCAGTGTATCTGCTATAGTGTGTGTCGGCTCCCCATCCCCCAGCCCTTCACTTTTATCTTTTAAGATTGATTTCAGATACGGATGAGGATTAAAGCAATACTCATTCACTTTAGTGAATCGTAGAAGCCTCTCCTGCCTTGTAGTTTATTTCTTAAATAGGTCAGAAGCAGCAAGTAATCTTTATCAGCAAAGCAATTAGATTTTTAACCATTACCTATCTCATTGCTAGAGGTCTTGGAGTTTCACAGAAATCAAGATTGTCTGCTGACCTTAAAACAAAAATGTAAAGAATACGGTATTCCTTAATTAGAAGTAAAATTGCCTCTGGGAAGAATCCTTTCAATTAATTCAAACAGTCAGCTTGGAACCCTGAGTTATTCTTACATGGTGCTTGGTATGGAGCAGGGAGCAGTCAGGGGGAGAACCTGGCCATTAGTCAAAGGATTCACAAAGTCCACATTCAAGGTTAGGTTAGCTTTCTTGATGACCCTTGTTGGATTGGGCTGGGAATAGTTGCTTTCAATTTATTATTCTCCCAATAAATACACACTATACTATCTGTTAGAGAAGTAGACTGTGGTGCTACATAGGGCTACTAAAACTCTATGATTAGTAGATCTAAGAAAAATAAATTCATATGAAAGTACAGGAGGAAGTAAACATGATTTGCTGGGAACATGGGTTTACTAATGCTATTATATTGAAATTTTTGTACAGATAATGCTTCCCCCACCCCAAGCCTTTCCTATACTGTTTGATCCTCCTGTTTACTATGATCTTGCTTCTTTGGGAATTAACTTGTCTTCTCAGAGACACTGTCTTCCCAATACAGAAAAGGCCAGCATATTTATTCAGTAGTAGTGTTGAACATATTAATGATTTTGGTTTTCATTTCATTAATGATTTTGGTTACATATATATATATGAACATATGAGGTTCTGAATTGTATATTAATAATTGAAATTTCAGTAACTAGGAAGAGTTTTGAGTTATAATTCTAAATGGCTTGATTGTAATATCTGCTTTTGGCTTCATTTGAAGGTAGGCCTGAGTATCAGAATGAAATTTGTTCAGCTTTGGAAGTGCAGTGAAAAAAGAATTTTACCCAACTTTCTCTCAAAGAAAAAAATGTGTAACCCACTTAAGTTCAGGAAAAATAATAACTAGAAGCATTTAACCAGGGTAGACACTGCCGAGGAAACAGAAGAAATATGAGAAAAGATTGTACTTGCAAGGTGCCATGTAGTGGGGATGGAAATTGAATATGAAGCAATCTAAAGCTTCTCAGGTTTGTCCCTGGTAGAGTTTTTAAGACATTCTCTGCTCCCAGGGTAACTCAGTTTCTTTTCTACAGTTTTTCACTGAAAACTTCTTAATGGAATGGATAGGAGCTTCTAAATTCCTTCCTTTCTGTTTCAAAATGATCACCTTTGCCACATTTGCAGACCGTACTGCTTGAGTCATTCAAGCCACAGCCTCTCCCTGCAGCCTCCCAGCTCTCATCTCCTATAGGTGAGCACCATGGCAACAGCCCAGCCTGGATCCCAGGAACTTTGTTTGTGTTACCTGAGGGGCTAGATGCCACCTGAAGGAAGAAAAGAAGGATTATTGCCTACACTGCAGGCTGTTTGGAGGAAAATGACTTCTTGATTTGTTGTTTGTGTTTCTGTTCTACCTCTGTTGAAGACTGGAAATAACAACCCGGGAAAACATTTATCCAAAGATATTATCAGTAACCAAAGGCAGCAGGGATACTATCTTCTTTTGGTTCCTGTCTTCTAAGCAGAGAATTGTTTTCTGAGCTGTAGTTCAGAAATTGACTTGCTATACCAGGACATGTGGCACCGCTATGCTTTGGGGTTGCACTGCCAGGTGGCTGTACAATTGCTTCATGTAGGTAGACATTTATTTTGTTTGAAATAAAATTAATTTATGCTTTAGAAAATTTTCCTAGAGAATTAAAAAAATAAAAGTAAGCCTTTTGTCATACCTCCTTCTATTTTAAATATGCCTTAATCTTTCCTGTTGAGAGGCTTACCCCCAGAGAATGAGACTCTTCCACAGCAACTCCTCCTGAGAAAAATGGGCTAGAATTGTTTTAAATTTGTTTAAGAAAAATTAAAGTGTCCTATTTCTTCAACCAGGCTTCCTATGCAGCATATTGAGAAAAGTTGTCTGATAATTATAGAACAGTCTTTGTAGCATTTAGTTTTTTAGGGTTGGTGCGCTGTGTTTACAGTATATAACACGTTATTGTCTTATTCAGTAGAACAAAGGGAAATGAATGAAGCTTACATTGTTGTATTTTTAACATACAAAACATTAGGTGGCATTTGCCCTTTGTGTGTATTATCAATGGAAAATATAAATGTTGACTTTTTTACTTTAAACATTGCTGAGTATCAAAATATACATTTTTCAGCCAAAATTTTACATGTGGTTGATTTTTTTCTTTTGTTTTTTGTGAAAAGAAGACTAAAATCCTTGTTGCTCAAGATGATTCTTATTCGATAGAGTTTGATGAGCAATGTTAGAATACAGGCAGAAGAGAAGTAAAAAACCATAATGCTGGTTTTTCTGTATCTTCTTACTTTATAATTTAACTAAAAGCTACTCTGGCATTATTTCAGTTCCTTTAATATTAATATGATTATTTCAAGGAAATAAATTAAACTGCTTATTGAATGTGTTTTATTAAAACATGTCATTACACAAAGCATTTCTTTTTATCCTTATTACTAAGTACTTCTGCGTGAAACATATGTATATAACTCGGGTGTTTCACTCAATAGATACTGTAATTATTGAATAAAACTGCATGACCATCAAGTTTGGAGTTCAAGAGTACTGTGCCTCATATTGTTTGACTCTGTTAATTCTTTCAAGAGGAAGACAGTGAAGTACTAGCTCCTGGAGTGAAAAGAGTCATGATTCCCACCATTCTTTTCTAAAACAGTTAGGAAACAAAATTAGCAAGGATGCCTAAAGGGTCCTGACAAGATCTGTCATAGATAAGAGTTTGGGCTTTTTCTTTTTTTCTCCTCATAATGGGAGGTTTCTTAAAGGCATTTTTTTCTTTATTCATACAGGACCTAATACTAAAAAATTTGGCTTGGAGTGTGTGTGTGTGTGTGTGTGTGTGTGTGTGTGTGTTTATGTGTTTGTTCTGCCCTT